CGGGGCAGCGGGGCCGGGCCGCAGCTCCGGGCTCGGCAGGCTGCACGCCCCGGGGCGGACCCAGACTCGCGGGGCTCCGGCGGCCGCGGGCTTCTGGACCCGGGAGCGACCCGCCGAGCCATGGGCAACGAGGCGAGCTTGGAAGGGGAAGGGCTCCCCGAAGAGCTGGCGGCGGCCGCAGGAGGGGCTGGCGGCGCGGGGAGCGCCCTGCATCCCGGGATCCCGGCCGGCGTGGAGGCGGACCTGAGCCGGCTGAGCGAGGAGGAGAGGAGACAGATCGCTGCTGTCATGTCAAGGGCGCAGGGGCTGCCCAAGGGAAGCGGCCCCGCGGCCGCAGCGGAGTCGCCTTCTATGCACAGGCACGCACAGCATGATGATGTCCGGGCATACATGCACCGCTTCCCGTGCACATACGTGCCAGAACGGCGGTACATATATGTCGCCTCCCTTCATCCCTTCATTTTATTTCCCTGATGGGGTGGCGATAAAGAGATAAGCTTGGATGGGCGGAATAAAAATGATGCAGTGTAGAGTTTCTGCTGGGATAGCCAAGGGTTGCATTCTTGGAACTGTGATTTTTAGGTTGTGATTTTTTTTTTTTTCCCCTGTTGGAACCTCTTCCCTTTAGGGTGGTGTGGAGAGACGCCCTCCAGTGTTTCACTAATCTGGAAGTCTTCCATTAATACAACACAGACGTATCGGGAAATGGATAGAGCTAGGTTGGGTGTTTACCTGTGTGTTTAAATCTCCTTAGCGTTCAGGGGTCTTTTTCTCTGACCCCTCGTCTTTCATCTGAAAGATGTTTAATATTCCTGTAACAATACCCTTAACTCCCTCCACCCCCAGGTGATTTGTCCTCGCTTTCTAGCCTGTCCCCAGAGAATAAGAACTGCTTAGGTAAAAGGCACAGGATGAATATATCTTTTGTATTCAGTGAGAGACCCTAAAATATTTCGTGACATTAAACAGATGGTTTGGTCACAGCAGAGCAGGTGCTGTACATGTATTTCAGATTTAGCATATGCTGGTTTTTAAACCATTGCTCTTTTTATGCAAAAGTGACTTTCAATTTGTAGAAGAACATGTGAATTTGTATTACCTTAAAATCAGGTTTCACCACACACTTAAAAACAAAACAAGTGACAATTTGCACAGGTAATTATAAAAGCTAATCTGTAATATTAACAGTCATTTCCTCTTCAACTTTCCATTTTCCTGCTTCCCAATGAATTAGTTGCTTTCTAATTAGAGCAGCAAGAGGGTGTAATCATGCTTTCCCTGTCTTTAATATTGTAAACAAACCATTTAACTTCAACCCTTCCACAGAAAACAGTTCTCTTTCCATGGTCCTGAAACCATTTTTGATAACTAAAGGAAAATCTACATTTCACTTGAGATAATAAAAATATGAAAAAACCTGTATACACAGGTGTAGAACGCTCTACTTAATAAACTTAAAAACATTTAAACTTAGTCACAAGCAGGCAAGTAGTTGCATATATTTTTTTCAAATTTAATAGTGAATTTAATATAGGAGCCATTTAAATTTCTTAAGGCTTAGTGATAGTGTTTTCATGTAAAGTCTGTCGGGTAAAAATACCCATTTATCTTGAAAGAAACCACTGTTGTGAAAATTAGCCACGTTTTATGAAATGTCTTATTGTTTTAAGACCCGTATGTATTGAACCCTTACTTTAATATAAACTTTTTAATATAAACTTCATTGCCTTAAGTAGTTTACAATGTGAGCTCTTTTTCTCTTCTTGGTGAAACCTTGAATTTGAAAAAAAATCAAATATGCATTTACTGTGTCTTTTTAAAATAATTAGCTGCAGTATTTTTATTAGCCTTTTAGAAATATATACCAGGTCTATAATTTTTTTTAGAGAGGCACATGCAACAGGTCTCACATGCTGGTTGCAAATACAAATGTGATCTTTAGTGTTTAGATTCCTAGCTTTTCTTGTGTTCAGCAGATGGCTGAAAAATATTTCAGCCCATATACTGTTATTTTATTTTGTATTGTGTCATGGTATACTTTTAAAATTCCCCATAAACAATTTTGTCACTTTGGAATTGTTATTGGTAGATAGTCTGTGGCCTAAATAGCAACAGTATTTGACTTTTGCAACACATTTCTATTTTACTGAAAGATTTATACAAGAGGCACTTTTGGAAAAAATATCCCTATATATGATAACCACAAAATCACTTGATTTTCTTTTTTAGACTTTTTAGGGTCATTTTCATTAAATATATGCATATTCAGTGTTTGAATTTAAAGTTTTAGGCGATTAAGAGATGTTCCCTGGGCATAGTGGAGTTTATTTATTTATATTTATTTATTTATTTTTAAGAAGTAAAGATTGACATCCCCAAGACCTAACCTCTTGTCCTATTGATTTTACATGATTCATAGCAAATAAATATGCACCTCTCAACCCATGGGCATCTCAGGTTACTTGGCTCTAAATAAGGCTAATAAGACTTGTCTTACCTGTCTCAGAGAGTAATTTTGAGGGTGACTAAAATATTCACAGTGACATTTTACTTTATTTGAAATATTAAGCAGTGTGACAAATATAAAACCTGATAATCTCAAACCAGCAATAGACGGCTCTCAGCTATGGCTACAGACATGTTGTGTTGAATTATGCATTGTTAGGAGTTATCTTAGTGCATTTGTATTTCTTTACATATAGATTCATGATTGTGATGTGGTAGAAATTCTCCCATTAGAGGCCAGGAGGCTGGGTTTCTCTAAGTAGTTTTATGACTGAATTCTCACAGCTTTCTAAATCTCAAATTTTTATTTAGTATAAAAAATGAATAGCTATTTCTAAACTTGTTTTTATTTCTAATATAATTTGATGTGACTCAGCGCTGTCAAATGGACTGTTGTGTTACATTTTAAAGTATTTCATTCCAGCTGCTTTTATATTCCTGTATTTGCATATGACCAAAATAGCATTTTATCTGAAGTAGTTGGGTTTTTTTTTTTTTTTTTCCTACCAACTGCTGAAAGAAAAGTTCTAATCTGGGAATGGAAATAGTAAAGTGGAAAAAAAAAGATGTGGAATTAAACATGAGTGTGAGTTCAAGGCCAGCCTGGTCTACATAGTGAGCTCCAGGACAGCTGGGGCTACAGGGAGACCCTGTCTCAAAAGACCAAAAAAAAAAAAAAAAAAAAAAAAAAATGTGATAGAAGTTAATTCTGAAGTGATTTCCTTTGGTGCTCTTTGAGCCTCCCTACTGAGTGGCCATCTGTCCTACTGCTTTTTCTTTCTTTCTTTCTTTTTTTTGTTAGAGCAATAGGTCAAGTTCAGGTTCTTAAATTTCTTAAATGAATATGGAACGTATCTATTTAAATCTTGGAAGGCCTCTAGAAGAATTTGAATGGAAAAGAACTCAAGAACCTTTAATCTAGAGTAAAGTCAAAACCTGATACTATCATTCATTGTTTGCTCATTGTGAATCATCCATTTATTCATTAGATTTTCAAACATTAACGTTCTCCTAGTTGCCAGGTTTGGTTGTAGTTATGAAAAAATGAGTGAAATGTACTCTCTCTCTCTAGGAGTTTTCAGTTCAGTGTATAACACACAGATTGCATATTAGTTCATTTTTTTAGGTGAATGATTTTTATGACAAACAAAAATTCACAAGAACATATGAACTAAGATACCTTTAGAATTTCTTTTGCATTGAGCTGCCATCCCAATGATTTTGTTTCTTTCACTTAGACCTCTATTTTTATGTTTATTTACATAATTATATCAAAATCAAGGTTAAATTGTGACTATAAAGAATTTTTTCTTACAAGGGGATTTATTAACATAGTACAACTTAATATTTGTGAGATGTTTATGGTGTTTGTAATTTGCAGTACAAGTCAATTTAAATTTTGTTGTTATTTTTAGTGCAAATATTTGATATTCCAGAAGTTCTCTGTTTTGGTGTTACACATATATTGAGTTAAGTGAGGAAATATCACAAGACAATAATTAAGATAAGTACTTTCAAGAAATGGGAATTTAATAAAATTAAGAATAGATTTATTTGGATTCTTTTTAAAGATAAAATTCAAGGACCATATACAAGGATTCAATTTAATATAATTTCTAAATAATTACTTAGAGTTAAGTGATCACAAGACAATAATTAAGATAAGTACTTTCAAGAAATGGGAATTTAATAAAATTAAGAATAGATTTATTTGGATTCTTTTTAAAGATAAAATTCAAGGACCATATACAAGGATTCAATATTCAATTT